GCTGCGCTCACTCCATTTCGAGGTCGTAATGTCACAATGGACCAAGGAACCGAGTCCAAATCCAAGTCCAAGTCCAATTTGGGCTGAGAGAATTTGCGTCGTCTTGAATTTGGACGTGACAGAAATAAATAAATAAGGATCCATCGCAAACCCTTGGGGCGACAGCCTCTATCACTAGGCACTGTCTGTCTCTACGTCAATCAGCCACTACCGTCAAGACAACTCAATCCTCAGTCTGGGGAGGCGATGGATGGTTCAAGACAAGCCAGCCCACAATCGAAAAGAAAGACCCACCAAAAACACCGCCCCGGCATGCTTGCCTGGCTCCCACAGCTCCGGACGGACAAAGACAAGGATGTGACACCCAATGTCATCCAGTCCCGGTCGCCGGTCTGAGCAATCCAAATCAATCAATCTCTGCGTGACATGACATGCACAACTCATTGCGTTCACCGATAGCCGCCAGCCAAGTTGGCAGAGAAAGATAGCAATGCAGACCAAGGTTGCAAAAGGCAACAGGGCTGTCCACGGATAGAGCACTGCCTGGGCATCACAGGGTTCGTTCACGATTTGTTGGTTTCATTGCTTACTTGCTGGGTTGACAGCGTCATCTCTATACAGTACAGCACTGATAAGCTGTGCGACTGCTTCAGACCCCTCGCAACGCACCATCTCGTGTGACAACGACAGAAACTCTAGCCAGCGGTTGCCTACAGAATGCAAACCTGCACCCGCTCAGTTTATCGTAAAAAGTGCTTGCAGAAGTCTCGCCCATTATTACGTGGCAACATGTACTTTTAGCTCATTCAAATGGACCGCCAAGGAGAGTCCACACAGCCGTGCCGCCCTTGTCCCAAGACTTGAACCACCAAGCTTTTAGCGACCAAGTTAGAACAGATTGTTGATTCCAGTGATGTGGTTTCAACGTCCACCAAGACAATGCGACTTGAGAAGCACCATCACGGTCATTCCATGACACTAAAGTTGTGCGGGCTGGTAGGATACAGCATACAACGCCCCCCAACACGTTGCGCCAAAAACGCGCTGATGCACGTCTTGCTTTCCACCCACGCAGCCCACGACAAACCTCCGAACTTGGCGGGTACCCGCACGTTTCGATTTCGACAAGGTCCCGTGCTTTGCTTTCCTCTTCCCTTTTCTTTGCGTCAACAAGCACGGACTTTGTCATGATTCCAGCAGTTGATTTTAGTGTCAACCAACAACAAAGATGTCTCTCTCTCTTATTCTTTACGATAAACCTACAAATGATACTATCTGATCATGAGATTCTCCCTTAAAAACGAATCATCAGTCATTCTCAGCACAACTACGTCATCACGTGATGGTATCGTCGAAAAGCTCCCGTGGCATTCCCGAGGTCCTCCTTGACATTGTGCATCTCCCGTTCGGTACTTGGACCCTCCACCAACGCAACGTTGTCTGAGCCGTCTTTTCGCAAATCTCCGGATCTCAGGCCCGTCGTCAACACGGACTTCCTGATCTCAAATTGCGCTGAACTGAACCGTTTGAACTTCATGAACAGCGCCTGGCCCGAATGCTTCAAACATCGACATACGAATTTGGCAATTTACGATCATGGCTTGATCAAAGATGTGGCTGTCTTTGCTTTGCCCCTGCACGACATTCCAAAGTCAGCCCCACTAACTCCATGCTCAAGAGGCACAGGGGAACAACACATCGACAAGTTAAACGTTCCTAGCCAATCAGGTAAAGTCTGGAAACTGGCTGCCTCAAGACATCCGTCATCATCTTGTCTTTACCGAAGCCCCCGAGCCTCGTCCGGGCTGGACATCCATTCTACCGTCCAACGTTGACGAAGAACACAATCTCGGTAACAATTAACTGTCTGCTAGCATGCTTAATTGTCGTGTTCGGAGACATGGTGCTAAAAATGAATTGACGCGTTTTAGGATCTTCAAAAGTTAATCACAAGGTTTCAAGATCTGAATGTGGAGACAAACATGATGCGGCTACTTTCAAGACATTCGCACCTTCAAGAATCAAAATATGAAACAGCTCTGTCCTCTCACCGGTCTATGTCATTCTTAAGCCAAATGATACCCTCAGAAAAGAATTAATCAAGGTTAACCAGCAGCGCAGTAAACTGGCCGGCCGGTATTGGCTGACCCTTGTTGATTAGAGATGTCCTTGTCAAGCAGGTCAGCAAGCATGACAGAAACCACTCGGAGTTATAGCCATGACCCGCTAGTGCCCACCCTCGGGCGATGAAGCCATCGTTAGAGTTTGGGATTGTACGAAAATTTCAGTTGCTTCATTTCAGCGTGCTGGGAGACTCAAGATTGCCAGTGTGAATCGTCATATCAATAAAGAGTCACCATGGTCCGGATCATATGTCCTGCCAGATTGCAAAACCCCTGAAATAAAGTCCAAGCATGCAGTGTAGATGAGGGGAGGTCTCATCAAAATTGAATGATCAGGCGCCTGTTGAGCAGGGGTCCAGACTCATACCTAAGTACTGGCCGGCCCCAAATAAATCTGCCCTCTAGATGCATGATTGACGAAATTAGTAGATCACCGTTAGCGATTTAAAGTAAGCTTTTAGGTTACTTATTTTTATCATCCAAAGCTCAGAAACCAACTTTTTTCTGTTACCCTCCACCGGGCAAGTTCCTACATGTGGCGGCCTTAGGCTAGCTGGGTTGTGCGCCACAAGAGGCTGGACCGCACTATGATCAGGCTGGCAGAGTGACGGACTGAGGACAACTTGATCCAATCTCAGGGTTTCAAAGGGGAATAAAAGAGAAGGACAGATTTTAAGAGCCTACGCCAACAACAAAGGCTTGCGAATACGACGATAGCTGCCGCCAAGAAAGAGACTCAATCCATTTATCAGTGATTTAACGAATTACGAGTCAACTTGTCCATTATCCCGCGCCAAAAAAAAAAGACCCGGCGCTTCTGATCCTCGCTCGGACAACCTCAACCAAGTTGGAATAAGAACCGATATCTTGGGTTGGACCCTGAAACCTAAATACCTAAACAACGTCACGATGCCGCCGCGAATAAATATTCCGCCCGTTACACGTATCCTCCTCATTGCGCTTCTCGGCCAGTCCATCCTCAGCGCTGCGATCCGGTATCGCCAATGGACTGCCGACGCCAACATCGTCATTCCCTACTTGACGCTGGTCCCGCAGCTGTCCATCATCTATCCCTGGACGTTTATAACCTCGACGTTTGTTGAGAGCAATGTGTTTACGCTCGGTATCGCTGCTGTTACGCTGTTCCATGGAGGAAGGTATCTCGAGAGAGCTTGGTCGTCGGCTGAGTTGGCAAAGTTCCTAGCTGTCGTCTCGCTGGTTCCAAACTTCCTGACGCTCTGCGTTATGGTGCTTGGCTTTACTCTTTCGCGCAACGAGAACTGGACGTACGTACTACCTGGCTAGAAAAATATTTGTGAGAGAGACTAACGTGAATATATAGCTTGACCGTTATTGCAGGAACCATTCCCGTGCAAATCGCTTTCCTTGTCGCTTTCAGCCAACTCGTTCCAGCACACACCGTGACGCTCTTCCGCGGCGTCATATCTCTCCGAGTCCCTCGGTTCCCACTTCTGTACATCGGCATCGTCTTCCTTTTGTCTCTGACCCCTATCCTCAACAGGGCTGCCCTATGGCTTGCCATCTTTGGATTACTTACCAGCTGGACCTACCTCCGATTTTACAAGACCGTGTTCCCAGACCTTGACTCTTCCCAAGATGCATCCCTCCGCGGTGACGCGAGCGAGACCTTCGCATTCGCCGAGTTCTTCCCCGGTCCTGTAAAGCCATTCGTCGCTGCTGTCGCTGACCAGATCTTCCTGGTACTGGTGGCTATGCGATTATGCACACCGTTTGCGCAAGCGGACGGTTCTCGAAACGATACCCGAATTCAACGTAATGCTCCTGGAGGTGCTCGCGCAGAGGCTGAGAGAAGGAGAGCTATTGCGCTCAGAGCGTTGGACCAGAGACTACATGCTGCGACAAGCAACCAGACTACGCAAAAGCCTTCTCAACCTCCTAGCCGACCGACTGGCACAACAGTGCAGAGCCAGCCTCAGCCTGCTACACAGACTGCTATGACGTCGCAGCCTGGCCCCCTACTTGGCGAGACCAAGTTTGAGCCTGATCATGACGATGCGAAGAGCTGAGTTTCTATTTCTATACCAGAGTAGCAAATGCGCAGTTCGTGGAAGGATTCCATGGTTACTATACGATGTACGATTTGATTCGGGTCAGGTCTGTTGGATAGATCAATAGGCTGACCAAAAGCGCAGTATTGCTAGCGGCGCTTAATAGACAAAGGCATTGATGGATGATATAGGCACTCTAGTGGAGCTCTGGTGTTATGAGGTTCTTCTCGGGTTTTCTTTACAGTCTGCTGCCATCCTGTTCTGTGTGTGATGGGATGGGGTTGGGATATCGTATATGTTCATGATAGATGTCGAAGCCGGGTTACTTAGATACAAATACTAAAACAAAGATACCATGAGTGTTTGGACCACCAGCAACTAGAGTGTGAATTAAGTTTGAAGTTGATCACATGCTATAATGGGCGTCATCAGGGTACCAGAAAAGTTGGCCGCCAGGTGTATAAGAGACTAAATTGCTAGGCCACTTTATGCTACTTAGACTATACTTCTTAGGCTATTTATTTTGTCATCTAAAGCTCCAAGGTCAATTCTTCTGCTACCCACTAGGGCGTATATCTTCAATTGATATTGAACTCACTATGGGTACAGGGTAAGATACCTGCCCAGCTATGCTGACCAATAACCTTGCCGCAATTAGCTTGTTGTCCTCCCTGAATATGAGAGCTGAATTGAGCTGTGACTTACAAGTCGTGTCTTTTTGAGCGTGCTTCGCTTGTTTGTCACAACTGCGATAGATTCCTCTTTAGTTAACTGACCTCTTGCCTTTTCATCTCAGTGGAATCCGAATTGGTGGCTTTATCAACTGTTACACACAGCACAAGTCAACATGGGCTGGCCATGGGAGTTCCTCACTCTAACCGACGAGGAAAAACACCAACGTCGTCTGAGCCTCGAACACTACGCATACATAGCCCACCTTTCTGCATTCGCTCCAGCGCTCTTATTTGTTCTACTCCGTCTTATCAACCGCGTCCGACGGAGCCGTAGTAGTGGATATCAGCAAGTTCCCGGCTCACCCACCATTAAGGCGACCCAGCAGAGATGGATCTCCAGGGTTATGGGAAAAGGACCCATGATTAAGTGGTGGCTCGGTGAAGATGTTTGGTTTCTGGGGAGTCATTGGGGTCAGCGTGATGAGTGGGTTTTGGGTATTGCGTGGACAGCTTGGTTGTTGTTGTTGAGTATTCACGGGACAGGAAAAGGTATGATTTGCAAATCACTAAGGGAAACATCGCTAACAAGTTAGACTATCTTCATCTCACAAAGCGGCTTGGAATTGTTGCAACTTCTCAGATGCCTATTCAGTATCTCCTTGCTCTCAAGGCCATCAACCCATTCGCTTTTGTCCTCCGCTCATCTCATGAGCATATCAACCGGTACCATCGCGTACTGGGCCGCATCGTCTACTTCCTCCTAACTCTTCACGCTATTCTTTACAACGTCTTCTTTATTGAGTCAGGAATATGGTTTAAACGCTTCTTCGCTCCCATTGTCTTTGCAGGCGTTGCAGGCTTCATCGTCATGCACGCACTCAATGGCACAGCCATGGCTCGTGTTCGTCAGCAGTCGTATCGTGTATTCTTCATCGTCCATCTTCTCGGTGCTTTCGCTATACCGCCTTTGATCTACTACCATGCGCCATCGTCGCGGTTCTACATCGGTGAAGCCATCGGCGTCTTCGTCCTGGACCTTGCTGTGCGAAAGATGATCACCATCACAGCACCTGCTGTCGTTGAGGCGATACCCGGCACCAGTCTCGTCAAAGTATCTGCCACTATGCCCTCTCACAAGATTGCAAAATACGCCGCCCGTCCAGGATCACATATTTACCTCAACGTTCCTCCGGCCTCTCGTCCTGGCACTGGCCAGTTCTCTGCACCACATCTCGTCTTTGAGTTTTTGTATAACCCCTTTACAGTGGCATCTACCAACCAAGAAACGGGTGAACTGACCTTTGTCGCACGTACGAGAACTGGCCCCATGACGAACCGTCTGCATCATCTCTCTACCACCAATGATGGAGTGGCGGCTGAAAAGGTCGAGCTTAACATCGAAGGTCCTTACGGTACTATAGGAAAGACGTTTAACGATCTCATCACATCAGGCATCAGCCGTGTGCTCATCGTGGCTGGAGGTGTAGGAGCGAGTTTCGCTATACCGCTTTACCACGCTGTCAACGCAGAAAACTCCATTGCGCATGTTCAGCTTATCTGGGCCATCCGTAGCGCCGGCGATGCTACATGGGCTTCATCAACTCCTACCGGAAAGTCTATTCTCGACGATGATCAAGTGCAATTATTCCTTACAGGTGATATGGGCGTTGCCGACGACAGTGACAACGCTGCTGGAGTTGAGATGAATGATATGGCGCAACAAACGACCCGCCCAGCTGTACGAAACAACAAAAGACCAGACTTGCAAAAGATTGTTGATGATACGTTCCGGAAGTCGCAGCAAGAGAATGTTGCTATTTTGGTTTGCGGCCCTACTGAAATGGTCAGAGAACTGCGCAAGAGTGTTAGACCTTGGGTGATGAAGGGACGTAATGTTTGGTGGCATAACGAAAGTTTTGGATGGTAAGCTAATAAGACGGCGATACTACTGGTGTTTTCCTTTAGTATTGATGTATATATGTAAACCGTAGTCAGCAAATAGAGGGCAAGGCGTGGGAATAGAAATGATTCAAGCTATATCCCGATTCAAGAGACATGTCGGCTCAAGAACCTAGAAGCAGCCAATGCATTACTTCCATATTGTTCAATACATTGATGGTCAGTGGTTGTGCAGATGGTCAACTCTATTATGCTATGCCCAGCCATGGTGTAGCTTTATGAGTAAAAAGAAAGGTTAGTTATGCTCTAAAGAGTCTGGCACATGGTTAAGACGGGAAACTAAAAATAAAGCTCTCGACTAACGAGGGCGCTATGAAAGGTATCTAAAAACAAAACCGGGTATCTCGAGTTAAAACAACAGTAATACCTCATCCACAATCGGTTCTATGTATCACACAAGCCAATACAACACCGGCATAATCATAGACTATAGGATCAAAATCTATGCTTTCGTGGTGTCCTCCACATCTAGCAAATCGTGATATCTCCCCTGTGACTCTCGTCGAGCAGCGCCTCACCCATCTTCCATTCCAACCCGTACCTGAAAATGTACCACACCCCCATTCATCTAACCCCGAATAGGGATGCTATAGGCATGTTGTGAATTCTAATGCACAAAAAGACAACAAAAACAAACATAAAAAACGTTCAACTTCTAAAAGAAACTGCCCCTGGGTGGTATCATAAGGAGAAAGGGACTTGTCAACTGCAACATCATTGCCTTGGCTGATGCATAGCTTGTCATGTAGGCTCACTGCCGGTACCTAGCCAGATGCGACATAATATTCTGGACCTGAACTGCCGAATCCCCGTTGGGTGGTACGCCATTTGGCGAAGGCTGCACTCCATAGGAAGGCCCGTAGGCGCCATGAGGGGGCGGAGGTTGAGATTGTTGAGCCGCAGGATTTGCCCCCAGGCTTCCAAGCAATGCCTGGATATCAGCATGGGGCGCTCCAGCGACTGGCGCCATCGGGTTGGTTTGGGGGGGCGGAGGGTTTTGAGCACCGCCTTGAACCTGTGCAAGCAATTGCTGCAGCGACGCAGGGTCAAGCTGGCCCATCAGATTCGCGATATTAGCGACGTTGACTGGAGCAGGCGGAGGTTGCCCGTATTGTCCTGGCGGAGGAGGAGCGACGAAGCTCGCCGCAGGTGGTTGATAAGCGGGCTGGCCACCATAAGGAGCAGCGCCGTAACCACTGGCACCATACTGTTGACCATAGCTGGACGGGCCTCCTGATGCCTTTGCTCGAAGAATGACTTCGGCTGCGGTAAGAGGATCCAGATCCGCGTATTGGTTGAAGCGAATGTTGTTGGAACCGGCAGAGCGATCAAACGCCTGGACGGGAATCTTGCCCAGGTTCTGTGCCCGAAGGTCGAGGTCGACGACGGCATGAACCCCTTCCGCTGCCTGTTGCTGAACAACCGCATCCTTAGGAAGTTTGCTCGATAAAAACATGACCTCGCACCGCAAGCCTTTGGAGGTGAAAGCTTGTTTCACCCAGTTGACAAATTCGCGATTGATTTCTTGCTGGAGGATGATCTGAACATCAGGGACGTCGGCACCATATCTCCTTCCCGGCAACTCAGGCTCACTTCCATGTCGAGATCGTCCATACGGACTTGGGCTCCTTCGACGGTAACTGTCATTATCGTTGCGACCATATCCGGGGGATCGCGATCGCCCACGTCCGCGACTGCCGTCATAATAGCCTCGATCACGACTGTACGACTCATCCCTTCCGTGATCATTGCGATGAGGAGAATGGCCACGACTAGATCGGTAGTCATCACGAGTTTGGTGACCATGCCTGTCGTTTCGGCGCCCATTGTCGCGGCTCTTGATTTTGTCTGGGCTGCGAGCCCTTTCCTTTTTCGATTTGTCCTGGACACGCGAAACTTCAAGATCTATGGATGGGTTAGAAGCACAATACAAGAATGCTCGAAAGATTCGACTCACGAATTCTGCGACCCTTAATTTCAATACCTTGAAGATTGTCCATGGCCCGCTGTCCCTCGTCTATAGAGTGATACTGTACGAACCCATAGGCTGATTTCAGCGAAATTTGAGCAAGCCTCCCAAACCGGTGGAATAGATCAAAAACATCACGCTTCGACACCTTATCGCTGGAGAGGTTGCCTGCAGAAAATATGTGAGCACCGTTCTTGGACGCGCCAGAGGCGGATCGTGTACCAATAAAGATGCGTGACCCTTCAGGAAAACGGTCCCACTTGGCATCCGACATGTACTGTTGCTCATCAACCAAGAACTGGTTCCACTGGCGCTGATATTCGGCATCCTGAACTTGATCGGCATTATAAGGGACGGGTTGAGGTGGGTATGGAGGAGCATTCATGGAAGTGATGGCGACAGGCGCCTGGAGACCAGAGCCAAGAGGGACCGAGTAATCACCCAAAGCATCGGGAACTGTAGTAGGTGCGCCAGCAGCAACATAAGTGGACGGCTGCCCAGGCGTTGGTGGCGCGGCAAGGCTAGAGGGAATGCTAGCATTGACGCCCCCTGGATGGTGCTGAGAGGCATACGTCTGAGGCGCTGCTTCAGACAGCGGAGGCCTCGGTGGAAGGGATGTTGAAGGCGGGAAATTTGAAGACTGTTCACCGGTGGCAGATGGGGCAGACGATTCTGTGGTACGGTTGGAGTCGGCTGGCGCAATGAGATCAGCAACCAGCCGTTGAATATCAGTCGAGGCATTGACAGGACTGGTAGTGCTGCCGCCACTCAGTTTGGCTGTAGCTGGAGACGGCAGATTGGAAAGCTGGGAAGTGGTGGCAGTCGCAGCGCCGGAAGCCTGGGCTTCCGAAGAAGCATTGGAAGCAGCTGATGCTGCATGCTGACCTGGCTGGGCCAGGTAGGACGGATCATGTACAGCATAGGAGACTTGCGATGGGTGAGAAAGATTGTTGGATTCTCGAGGTAGCGATGATACATCTTGTGGTTGAACGTCTCCGTCTTCACCCTCCTCCGGACCAATTGGCGAATCAAACGTCTTTGCGTAATCGTCATTGCTGTCGGAAAGCTCTTGCTCGACCTGTGGCTGCGGCACTTGCTGGGCGACGGCATCTGCTTCGTACTCGCCATAAGGGTCGTCATCTACGATATTGTCATCACCGGCCTCCAGGATAGGCTCATAATCAGGGCCATTGTTGACTGAGCGGTTGGCGGCGTCGGCAGCGGCTGATGCGGCAGCGACCATGGCGTCAATGGTGTCCACCGTTTCTTGAAGCACGGGAACCGCCAAAGACGCAGCTGAGTGAACAGGCGATGGGGAGACAGGGGAGAGGTTGGCAGTGGCCTGGATTTCTGCCTCGGGTTCTGTCATTTAATTCAGGCTGGAGGGGTGGGAATTTGGTGGGTAAATAGGATGAGGTGACCCTCCAGGTAGTAGGCAAGGTACCAACCGCTAGTCGCACAAACGACGCGAGACACAGGCGATGGTGCAACTGAAAATCGATGGGGCTCGATCCTTTCGTTAGTAAAAAACTGCTGCCAGGCGCTGGCCTGGCGCAAGACAAGAATTGAAAGCGCGTTGGATGGATTGAGTAGCGGTCAAAGCGACAAAGAAATGGTTGTGAGCCGGACAAGCTGTGTAGAACTCGTAGGCCCAATAACGCGCAGCTGGCACGCTTACAAGATGGATGTCGATAAGAAACAAAGAAGGGTCGTCTACTCGACAGGGGAGCCAGGTGGCAGAGGCTTTTGCGACGTCGGAGCTTGGCTTATCGAACCAAACGAGTTGAGTTCTCCAGAAGAATGGGGCGCGAGCAGATGCACGTGAGAGAAGTTGGAAAAGGGTTTTAGCAGAAACTCGTCGCGACACCAAAACTATGACACGGCGTTGGATCAAGAAGAGTTGATGGCGTTGCTGAGGTTTAATGTGGATGAGAAAAGCTAAGTAATTGAAGGAAGGTAGTTAAGCTGGACTAGGCTGGGTTTCGGGGTTCGAATTGAGGCTGATCAGGCGCAGTGTAAACCCGTAACTAACGGAAGGCTAATACAGAAGAGGTAAGGCGGTCAAAAAGGCACTTCTGGTTTGTTGCTGCTTCAGGATCACTATCTCAGCCACAGGCAAGCATTTAAGCTACAAGCCAAGATTTCAAGGGACTCAATCTCTACTGATATCAGTATAAGACATTGGTTTTAATGATTTTTGTCTGACTGTGGGACACGTTGAGAAATATTGTCCCATTCACACAAACAACCTAAAGACTTAGACATTGTGAGCTACCCACCATGCTCCAACGACAGGCCTTTACAAGGCTTGTTGCCCTAAAAAGGATGCCGTCACAAGTGACAGCTACACCCTTTGCGCCAAGATTCAAAAGATACCAGGCTTTCGATGCCGACTTGGACAAAGATGCTCTCAATGAGGCTCGATCATGGTACGATTCATTTAATGCATCTCAACTACCGAAAGGCAATACTACATTTGCTCGCTCCAGTGGACCAGGGGGGCAACATGTCAACAAGTGCGTACAATCCGATACAATATTCACGGATTTCCAATACTTACAAGCAAAGGACTGAGACCAAGGCAATCACGGCATATCCAGTAGGACAATTGCTCTCAATACTTCCCCGATCATTACACCCCAGCATTCGCAAGTCCAAGTACTACACATCAACCAATGACTCTTTGACTTTCCAAGCTCAGGATTCACGGTCTCGGGACGCAAATGCAGAAGACAACAGGAGAAAGTTGACTGACGAGGTTGTGCGCATTTATAAAGAGGCCACGCCTGCCGAGACAAGTGTGGAGAAGAGAAAGAAACATGAAGAGATGTAAGTTGCCTGTCATCGGTTTGTTAGGTGTTGTTACTGACGTTTGAATAGCGGCAAGAAATTCCACGAGTCAAGAATGAGGCAAAAGAAGTTTACGAGCGCAAAGAAGCAATCACGTAGAGGCCCTTCAAACTGAATTTCGCTATTCGTATCTGCCAGTCCCATAAAAA